CACACATATATATATATATATATATATATATATATACATACATACACATACATACATACATACAAAGGTATTAAAAAAAACATACTGGCTCAAAACATCTGAACTGTAGTGTATATCCACTTTCAGGAAAGCCCTGAGTTAAGTCACGCTTGGATTTGCTGAAAGCAGCGTGACAAGACAATTTTGTGGAAACCGCTGTGTTTGGCACTCAATCTGAATCCACTAAAAACCACATACTGCTCAATACCCAAGTAACCGCACCTGAAACATGGTGTTGCTAAGAGTTTTTGTTTCATTTCAGCAGCTGTAAGTAGCCCTGCCTGCTGCTAGATAACTGTGAAGAGGTGAAATCCCCCATCATCAGTTACATTCTGCCTCCCATTAGTAGCTGTGATATTAATTGCTCTGAGCATAACTTACAAAGGATCTGTGTTTATAAAATGAGCACAACAAAGTGCTGTTTAAAAATCTAAAATAGTGTTTTAAAATCATTAGCAATTGTGAATGAGCGAATATTTTAGCATGACATTTTTGATATGCTGCTGTAAAATGACCATTGCACCCCCCCCCCCCCCCCCCCCCCCCCCCCCCCCCCCCCCCCCCCAGCCTCCCCCCTCCCCCCACCCAGGCAGCCCCTCTGCTCGCCCTCAGCCCACCATCATTGTGGTGCGAGCCCCGCGGGACTGCCATCCCCCAGCGACACCGTGGTTGGAGTCTCCCTCACCTCCGCCTCCGAGGCCCGGACTCTGCCTCGGCCCGTAAACCCAGTGGCTCCACCTCGGCTCCTAGCCCCCTCGCCTCCACCGTCACCCATCGACCCATCATCTCCACCGTGCTCCCTCGCCCCCCCCCCCCCCCCCCCCCCCCCCCCTTAAATCTCAAAGAACGTTTTCAGGTGTTTAAATAATTCACTTTCTGTGAAGCACAATCTGTTTTTCATTCACTTTCAATGAGCTTTCAATGGCACATGAAGGATGCTTGCAATTTTCCAGCATGCTTAATAGCTGTACATATTTACATCAAGAGCAAATGCCATAACTCCTCCACTGTGTCACCAGAGGAGCTTTGGCATTCTTCCGCTTTATCAGGACGTTCTGTCATGCCATAGTTTGTCTCGTTTGGTAGGTATGGACACAATGATGTCTGCCCTCGTGTGACATCCATGTCGGCTTGCTCTATTTGCAGATAAATCCAAGGACAAATCTCAGGCGGCTCAGAAAACTGCCAGCAAAAACAGCACCGCAGCCAATAAAGTGAGCAGCAGCAACGGAAGCAGCACGCCGAACAGGTACTGCACCCAAGTCCCGACTCTCCACGCCGCGCAAGCTCAGAATGATGTACTGCTCTCATCTCTAATATAATGTCATTAAAAGTTGAAACCCTGGGGTGAGAAAGTTTAGCGGGGGCTTATTTCAAACTACTCACCAAATAAATCAATCCTTTATCAAAGTCTACCTTCCTTATGAACTGTGTAATCAAATTGAACAGTGTTCCAGGCAAGAATCCTCTTACAATTCTATTAAACTGAGCAATCGCGGAGAGAAATGTCTTGAAAGGAACTATCTCTGAAAGGCATGTCTGTTACAACACACAATTGCACGATGGCCCATCAAATTGGCTGTGTAAAACATCATTTCCAAAGAAATTCTTCAATGGGAGACCGGCGAAGAAAGGTCCCCATTAGTTTCCATTCAGGAATTCTGTGAATGGAATGAGATTGTAATGGATTTCTGAGTGTCTTAACGTGGTTTGGTGGGGTCAGGGAAAGTGGCGTAGTCAGGAACATGTAATTCATCTGAGATGAGAGGAACAGAGGGGTCACGGTGTGCTCTGGTTTAATAATGAATGACACAGTCAAGAGAATTCAGCCCGTAGCTCAGGGGCTTTGAGAAAACAAAGAGCCTAATATCGGCACTTTTTTGTCCAAAAGATCATATTCACTTTCAGAACTTTGGTTTACACTCTTTACGAATCACCTCATTTTTACACGTGTGCAGTAGACCAGCTTCATTTTGGCTAGGTATGTTGGTTTGAGCGAGCTGTAGAGCATTGCAGGCTGCTTTCCACCATCAAAATCATTTCTTAAAGTCATTGGAATAAAGTCTAGTGTTAGCAGCCCATAACAGTGTTGCCAACATGGGAACACTTCAGTGGTAACACTTTAGCTTAGGGTCAGATTCTCACTATTAACTAGTTGCTTATTAGAATGCATATTGGCTGGTTATTAGTTCTTAAAAAGCACATATTAATGCCTTATTCTGCATGACCATATTCTAGATCCCTTAATCTGGCCACATACCTACCTAACTACCTTACTAACTGTTAATTAGCAGCAAACTAGGAGTTTGAGGCAAAAGTCGTAGCTAATAGTTAGTTAATAGTGAGAATTAGTCCCCAAACTAAAGTGTGACCCAAAAAAATAAATAATAAAAGTTATTTCTTTACTTTGTTTTTAATAGACAGAGAACAGAGAATTTGAAACGACAAAATAATTAAATCAAACTTATCATGTTGTGTTTTTAATGCATTTAAGATCATTTTGGGAAGGCTAGTATACACATTCTAAAGCTACTAGCTACTTTTCACTCCATTATTTGAACATTAGATAAGAGTTTATCTAACATAACTCTCTACCCAAAGAACGGCTCGACTTCAAGCATTTGTTGCTTTAAAGTCAGCGGAGACCAGTCTGTACTATTCATGAGGTTTTATAAGATCTTAAGTGGTGCTATATTACATTTTATCACTGGTGCCTATCCAGAACATCTCCAGCTTATCAGTTATTCTATATTTCTGAATTAAAGCCATTTGTTTTGTTCTCTTTGTAATGCTTTTAAAGCCAAAAATATTATAATAAAGAAAACATTTCAGCAGACTTTAGTTGATGCCTGATCTCTTCACAGCACTAAAGGGAGCAAAGAGAAGGAAGATAAAGAGAAGACCACAAAGGAGAAAAAGGAGAAGAAAGAAAAGAACCCAGGAAGCACTCCAGAGGCCAAGGCAGGAGGGAAGGACAAACAGAAGGAGGAGAAACCCACTGAGAGCAAGGAGAAGACGCCCAAGGCTGACAAGGACAAGAGGAAGGATGACAAGAAGGAAGAGAAGAGCAAGATTGATGGGAAATCCGCCGAAAAAGAGTGGTCCAAGGAGCGCGACGTGTCCAACGACAGCAAGACTAAGGAAGGCAGCAAAGTGGAGAAGAACGCTGGGGCCGGAAGCATGAAGTCCCTCGTGCCCAGATCCGAAGGAGTCGAGTCTGAACGGGGTAAGACGGCCCTGATGCTGTTCGCTTAAATATGCTTCACTACACTTCTTTGACTTTGTTTGGGCTTTATTTGAAGAGTTAATTGGGAAAAAAACGATAACTCCATTTTGATTTTATTTTTTCAGAAATCATGTTTTTTTTTTTTTATTGCGCATTCCAAGTAATATCAATCAAATGCAGTTGGGTTGTTTTGATTAAGTAATAATAACTTAAACAAATACAGGTAATTTACAAAATTAAAGTTCATTGAAAGTATTATTATTATTATTATTTTTTTTTTTTTACATATTAAAAGTTTGTTTTATAGCAAAAGCAGATAACTCAAACAGTCGTTTTTTGGCAAAAGCAGATAATTTTCACATTTCATGTTTTAAAGTTTTAAAAAAACACTTGTTTAATCTTTGTAATCTCCTCAGATGAGAATGTAGATGCCTGACAAACGTTGTTGTGATCATAAACTGTATGGATGTGATTAGGGGTGTGCGATATTGACAAATTACATCTCGATATTTTCTGGGATTTTATCGATAACGATAATTAGACGATATTTTTCTGAGGTCTAAAACGTAAGTCTCTTAATTAACTTATTGTTTATTGAATTCAATGTCACATTTGAAATCATGGTCATTTTTGGAGAAAAACGGCACTCTTCGTGTGAAATTGAATAACTATATGAAGTGGTATAAATATATAAATGTTCTGCCATGTCTTGAATTTGTGATCATTCTAAATGCATTTTAATAGACTGAATCATGCAGTGAAAGAAAACACACTACATGCGCACACACACTAGTCTAGACTTCACGTAATGTATGCGTCTCTGTAGGGATGTTTTGAATGGTTTTTGCAAAATACTCGATAATGTCAAATCGCACCTCGTTAAAACAACAACTGTGGCTGTATTCAGCATGATTTTTGTTGGCGAAATAGAGCAAAAACAAGCAATATGGTGTCTAAAACGTAAGTCTCTTAATTAACTTATTGTTTATTGAATTCAATGTCACATTTGAAATCATGGTCATTTTTGGAGAAAAACGGCACTCTTCGTGTGAAATTGAATAACTATATGAAGTGGTATAAATATATAAATGTTCTGCCATGTCTTGAATTTGTGATCATTCTAAATGCATTTTAATAGACTGAATCATGCAGTGAAAGAAAACACACTACATGCGCACACACACTAGTCTAGACTTCACGTAATGTATGCGTCTCTGTAGGGATGTTTTGAATGGTTTTTGCAAAATACTCGATAATGTCAAATCGCACCTCGTTAAAACAACAATTACGATATTATCGCAGACGATATATATCGCACACCCCTAGATGTGATTACATGCAATACACGGAGCTTTTCCTTCACCATTGTAACGCGCTGCTTTTGCAAGGTTCCGTGAAAACGTTTCCGCTTTTATTTTAGTTTTTCGCCCTGTAGATATCACAGGTTCATCAAGTTTGTCGAAATGATCCATCCTCGATCACTTTTAGTCTGCTTTGACGAAACTCCTCTCAGCTTGCACGTCTTTTCAAAGTGAAAGTAGCCTTGTCACCTGACTTGAATACAGAGCGCTAATTCGCTAAAATGGACTTATCGGCTTCTGTTCATGAACAACAAGGGCGCTTTTCGGCTTCTGCAGTAAAACGTGAACTCGCGATGCCTTGAAAGTGGACAAAACCGGCTTTTTTGACAAAACATGTTTAGGCTTCAGATCGAACTATATGTGGAGAATAATGCATGGCAATCAGCTCTTTTTTTTTTTTTTTAAAGTGGCGTTTATCATTTTTTGAAAATTAACTCTTAATTTTAAGAAGAGTACGTAAAGGATTTTGGATTTAGTTCACCCTAAAATTAAAATGTTCCTTTAGACACTCACCCGAGTGTCTGTCCATATTGTTTAAATTGCATGCTGCAGAACAGAAAATCTAAAGCAAAAAAAGCATTTATTGAACCTGAACCTCGTATTTCTTCTCTCAGCAGAGCAAAAAAGACGAAAGCTTGACACGCACTCGTCACCGTCGCACTCCTCTGCAGTTAAGGTTAGTATGGCCTGAGGAGAGCTGTGCACTTCTTTCCTCTTGTCCCTACCTGTCGGAGATCACGTGTTTTCCAAACCTTCCTCGTCCTTCCGCGTCACCCACTGGAGTTTGAGAGGAGGCTTCTGGAGCCCAGCTGTTGTAGGAGAGCAGTTGGGGGGAATTTGGCATCTTATGGACTATTATTATTATTTTAATTTTTTTTTGGAGAAGTATTTTTTCAATAGATGTCAGATTTTTAAGATAAATTTCCAAGGACTTGCCAAAATCTTAAATTCTAGCACATGCTTCGTTTTTGCTTTTCCATGCTAAGAGAATCTAGCCAAGTGCCTCATAAGTTTTGTTCCTTGTCGTACGCCGTACTTTTTGCGAGATTGTAAATATAAATATTTATTTTTGTAAATCGCCCTCCCTTTTTGAATCATAGCATATTACTTGCTGAGGAAGCAAATCGTAAGAGATATAAATAAGAATCAGTCCTTTTGCTTTTTAAACGAAACTTCGAGACGAGAATGTTTCCGCTGGAAGAAATCCTGATCGCGTCCGATCTCCTCAACGTCGGCGACTCCTGCAGGAGCTGGAATGTTTCACCGATCTGGGATCCCAGACAGGAATATGCTTCTCTTCAGTGCTACTTTTTTTTTTTTTTTTCCCACACCCGATTCGTGGAAGGGTTTTCGACGAGAGCTTTCCAGATATCCGTGCAACCAGCAAGACGGTTCGTTCAGCATCCAGAGAAAGCCGCGTCACCAGCAACTACTGCATAAAGAGAAGGGCAACCAGGAAAAAAAGTGTGGGCATGGCCTTCCCAGAGGGATCTGTCTATCCGTGACCAGGAATCTTGTTGCAATTGTCTATGAGTGAGACCTCATGCCAAAGTGTACATGACCACCTCCTATTCCCTTCATTTATGAATCCTAGCTGAGTTTAGCTTGTTTTGTCATCTTCATCAACTCCCATAGTTAATCCACAGAATGTATGCTCTATTTTAGACCAAAGATACGAGTTAAGATGTTTACCTATGATGCTCAGTGCAGTGACGTTCTCCAAACACATGCAGGTTGAGATAGTCCAGCGCAGACTAGCGTTAGGCTCCGATAGTCCGGTCTCTTCGTCTCTAACCATGTGAAAGTTCTAGTCTTTGAAGGTCTTTGGGGATGTGTTGATTGACGGCCAGCCTCCCCCAGCCTTTCTCCTGCTGTGTGCCATCCTCTCCAGCTCATCTGTCATCTCCATTCATTCCTACAGGACAATCTCAACGACTTCAAGGACTCAGCTTCAAAGGTTTGGACCTTTTTCAGTCCTTAACTCTGATTGTGTCTTCAAACCTAGTGAATGGTCTACCCAGACCATTCAAGCGGTCATTACAAATGAAAGTTATGTGCAATATCGGTCGCCGTTATTGGTTCAAAACATCCGAGCAATGCTCAAAAATATTGTCCATGTAAGCAGTATTTGTCCAAAATGTACCTTTGATGGCCAAAAATGCAGTATAGCTAGACAGCATGTTTTATAGTTTTAAACACTCCTATACTGTCGTTAGGCTGCATTTCTTTCATGCCAAACACCTCTGTGGGGTCCTAATAGGGCCCTATGATTTCCATAATGCAGAAAATGCAGAAGGAATTGTGTAATCCAGTCGTTAAAATGGAATTTACTATATAAATGGAGAAATCAAAAGTAGAGCTGTGCAATGTGACTTGAACACATGCACTACTTTAGAGTCAGCTCTCCAGCATTTCATTTGATGAAACACAAATGCAAACCCCCCAAAATAAGTTTTGTTTAACCTGAATTTATAACGTGAAGATATTACTATTGAAAAGTAGAATGTGCTTCTCAAAGTAATATCACACACTTTTTCATCCATGTTTGAATTTAACCAGTAAACCTCTCTTGTGCAGTGCTTTGCCAAGAAATGAAAGGAATTGTTCAAATTTCAATGTAATTAATCTTTTACATTGTTTTGCATTCATTTTATTACTGTTTTTTGATCATTTATTTGTATTACATTTAAACAGATTCTAGATTTCATAGGTTACTGTTATTGTTAACATTTTAATAGATTCAATTATTTGACGAATTCAGTTGATTACACATAATTTGTGATTGTTACAATTAAATGTCACTTAACAATTAAAATGTAAAATGCACAATTTGGGGAAAAATAACAGAATTTGGGTGAAAATAAAACTGATTTAATTGAGTTGCTGTACATTCCAAATGATACCATCATGGTAGGCAGCAATTGCTTGGGCGTTCCAAACCCATCTGTGATGCACAGGAATGCTGTCTATGTAGGCAGCATTCTTTCAGACGGATGCCCAGAAATGCTGTGTGGGTAGGCAGCTCACTAGCCTTTGAGATACTCCCAATATTTATCTCGTCTTGCTGCAGAAACTGTCCTCACGCTGTATGTCATGAATGCGTCTGTAGATTACAGCACATTTTGTGCCACATGCCAGGTGTGGAATGTTTCTTGTGGTATATCGGTCTTTAAAAAGTCCATTTTCCCTTCAAAAACATGCGTAGCGCTCTTGTGCTCGCACATCCCTCTCCTCCTCTGCCAGGACATTTTATATTCTGCTAATGTAATTTCAGCCCAACAGCATCCTCTATTCTTCCCGTGGCTACGCTCTCCTGGGCTCCTCTCTCAGTCCTCGCTGTCTGATTGGACTCTGGTCCTCTATTCTGCCACTCCGGTCTCTTTTGAACAGCTCCTGTCAGCGGGCAGGGAGATAAGTGTTTTTGCAGTTTGGTCACTGAAGGATGTTTGGAAATATGCTGATGGCACCACCTGAAAAAGCAATGCAGCTGAATTTTGAGCAGCCTGTTATTTTATTCTCTCTCTCTCTCTCTGAAGGCCTGCTGTCAAAGTATTCCCCCACATCAACTGCAGGATCATCCAGATATGAAGGAAGAGAGGAGGCATCACAGACCCTCAGTATAGATGTATTTAGCATTAGTTACAAAATCTGTTATTTTCCTGAACCGGTTGGGTTGTTTCTTGTAGGATATCGTGTCAGCTGTGTATTATTCTTGTATTTCAGTTGTGATGAATGATTAATTCTGCAGTCATTCACTCTCAAGGAGTTTGTGAATACCCTTTCGAAACAGAGGTGCTTTATGATGTTGGGTAAGCAAGTGTCTTTAACATATATAAGAACAAAACAAATAAGCAGTGGAACAAATAAAAATGACAGAACCAAGAGATAGACGGCGAAAATGCTCCTGGAAGTTTGTCAGGATTTCAACAGCCGTTTCAAGTCAAGTAATCTTTCAGAAATTGAAAATAAAGTACTATTTTATTAACTGGTTCACAACCAATTTATTCACAAATCAGACTGAATGCGTAAGTTCTGACGTTAAAGAGCGTTTCTTTCAGGTATCAGAAATCACTACTATGTCAGGTCTTTGAAGGAGGCTAATGCCGGGTTCAGACTACACGATATTTTTGTCGGTCACGATATGGCGCTTTTCCACTGCGTGGTACGACTCGGCATGGCTCAGTATGGCTCGGTTTGCGTTTCCACTGCAGTTTAGTACCGCTTTAGAGTGGGCGGGATTATTCACATGTCGTTATAGTTGCGCCGCGACTCCTGAAAAACATATTCATTCCGCGTCGCCCCATCAAGCTCTCGCTGGATCCGCTTTTCTGCTATCAATGAGAGGAACGTCTGTACTTCCTCAACAGACAATGAAACAGACACTTTTTGGTTGTTATAAAAGGTGCGCTTGTTTAAAACAGTTGCATTCAATCCTTCGCTGGCTGTGCTGATTTAAATCTAGCGGTTCTGTTGTGTTTGTGTCGCAAGTTCAGTGACGCAGGTAGTGACGATTCTCTCCGGCCAATCCGTGATCAGCAGAGTTTATACGTCACGTTTTGGTAACGGTACGGTTCACTTGGAACCTCAACCGAGGGGGTACTAAAAAAGTACCAGGTACTGTAACCAGTGGAAAACCCCCCAAAAGTGAACCGTACCGAGCCGTAACATGCAGTGGAAAAGCACCAAAAGTCACTGTGTCAAATTACACGATTTTGACTCCTAAAATCTTGTCGTGGCGTGGACAAGAAACATGTCAGACTACACTTTGCTTCCCGACCGTTCATCGTGTGCCGTCTTTAGCGACGCGTGTGATGTGATCGAGAAGGCGGAACTAGCGACGGACTTCTGAAAACGAGTGTAAACATTGCTGAAGCGCTTCCGCTATAATTCGCCAGCATTTTTCTTTCTTTGTTCTGTCGTGGTAGTCCCTCAATGACACATCATACTGGCAGGATTCATAATCCCACCTAGCAGCACCATCTCTTTCATTTTGCGATGTTTGAAACGTGTGTATGAAAGAGCTTCTGTGCTGCTATTGGTCAACGTCACCAATGTAACAGAACTCGTCGTGGACGACGGGAAAAAAAATTAAACATGCTAGTCTTTCTGTCGTGAAGCATCGCAGACGTGGAATCGGTTGTCGTCCACTACGATGGAATCTTGCGTCCCAACGGCCATTGTCGTTTACGAATCCCCATGACACCTCAAACGTCAAGCAAATCGTGGCAAAATCGGGCTAAAATAGTGTAGTCTGAACCGGGAATTAGAGGCTACAGTAAGCTGGTGAAGATGTGAATGCTCAGGTCATTTGGAGAACAATCGTTAACCGCCTTCAAAAAGACTCGTTCCCCCCCCCAGTATCTCTTGCTCTGTTGGATCTCAGTCTGGTTTTGTTCCTCTCCCCCACATTTATCAGCAGAGCATCTTTGGATCAGTAGGAGAGTCTGAAATGGCAGTTTTCCAAACAACACTAACCACATTCTGCTGTTACATTCCAAACAAGAATCATATTTATTGTGAGTGTGCTTTTATGCACATGGACATTTTATATATTTTTTTTTCCCTCCATTTGATTTAAGTTACTTTATTCTGTGTGTGTCAGTTCCAGCTGGAACATGAATATGAGGCTAATGATCAAACAACTTAAACAAAAAAAAAATAGCACTGCAGCAAATTGTTAATGAAGCTCTTTTGAGAGCATGAGTTGCTGAACATGATGTGGGCAGTTGAGTTTGTGTCCTGTGCGTCTGGCAGCTTGTGTTGTGTAAAGGATGAAATTAGACAGTGTGTATATACCTGCTTCCACCTGAAAGTACATCTTCATTAATTTGCAAAGACCAAACAACAGATGAGTTTACATTTAAGGTTTTACATTTTATCTTATTCCATGAAGCATTTTGGGGCTTGGCACTCTCTGCTAGTTAAGACTACAAGTAAAAAAATATTTTGATAACAACTAATCTGCTGATTATTGCTACAAACATTTAATATTTATTAAACATATATTATATATAAATTGTATATAAATTTATATAAATTAAATAAATTATTTTTAAAGGGCAATATGATTATTTAGCATTTTAATTTGGATTAGATATTTCATTATTTTAATATATTAATACTCATTTATTAATTGAAATACTTTTAAGTTGCCTCCCCTTGGAGGTTTGCTGAGAGTGAGAGCGACTGCTCTAGATCTCTGCAGCAAACATTCAGGCTTGTCATTTTCTGTCTGAGATGTTGATGTTAAGCTTGAACGAATGCCAACAACAGTTTATCTTGCTTGCTCATGCTTCGTTTTTGTTATTTGAGCACTTTCCACGTGTTGTTCTCCAAATGAATTTCTTTGCAAAAGTAAGGCTTCATCCATGTTCTGAAGATTTGCCGTTCTTAAGGAGCATTGTGATGTTTCATAACAGTATTGCTCAATGCTTGTTTGAAGAGGTCAACTATTTGTTGGTTGATTTGTGAATCACGACCCTTACGAGCTTTTCTCGTGAATCATATCAGCGCTTCCCAATGCACTGAAGCATCCAGCTGCAGTGTACTCTGATGCCACATTACGTACACAATGAATCTGCAAGCAAACAATGCAAGCTGACTTTCTCTTCATTTGTGCTTATTTGAAAGTGCTTTAATTCTGTAAATGTTAAAAAAAAGTCAATAATCGTAATGTTTTTGAGCAAAATAATGATTATTTAAGCAATATCGTGCAGCCTTAACGTACAGGTCAAATATTAATTTCGCCTTGCATCCTTTTGGCCTCTGACCTTTTCAGCTGTGGCCACTGAATACCTGGCAAGATTAGCATGACGTATCAATAAGTTTGTGGACTGATCCTCCTTGCCTTTTTTCTTGCTGCCTAGCAACCCAGTAAAATCGCCCTTTTGTAACACTTTTCACATGGAGGTTTGCCGCTTGTTTTGTGGTGCGTTGAATGCCTGATGCGAGGCACGTGAAAGGGCTGCATATGTGAGTTCAGCTTTTAATAGAGTGCTTGGACTTCCAGTGGGTGTGTCTGATAGCACTGTGAGGTGTGAAGGCTCATGGGAAGGCGAGTGCGACTCTAATGGGGCATGCTAATGAAGTGGCAGCGGGCCGCTGCGAGTGCTGTAGCTCTCATCCTGCAAGGTGTTAACCCTCTCTTATCTCTCCATCCAACCCTCAGCACCATCCTAACCACAGCACAGTCCTGCCCAAGAGCAAAGAGAAGGACGACGAGAAGAAAGAGTCTGACAAATCCAGGGACCGTTCCAAAGAGAGGGAGAAGAAAGAAGACCGGAAGGACCGGAAACGAGTAAGTGGCTCCGTCCCTGACGCTGTTAAAGGATTTGGACACTTGGTGAGGTTCTTAAAGCACTTTTCTCATTTGCAACATGGACGTCTAAAGAGCCGTAATTGAGTTGATTTGCGCCGTTTCTTCATCTAGGACTACTCAAACAGTGACCGCGAGATGAGCCAGGAAGCCAAGCGCCGCAAAGATGAAAATGGAATGAGTGAGTCGATTACGCCTATCTTTTAAATTTGTTTTGCCCTGTGCCGAGAGCAGGAGAGGCGAGCTAGCGAAGCGGAACGTTCTTTCTCTGCAGAGGAGGCAATCAGAAAGCCCTCCCCGCGGCGGCGGCGCAGCTCTCGTGTGTTATCTGACTCACATGACTGCGCTCTCTCTCTCTTCACACAGGCTCCTCCAAACACAGCAAGAGCGCCAGCCCCTCCGAATCGCCCCACTCCAACGACAAGGACAACAGCAAACGCTCCAAATCCACCAGCAAGGACAAGAGTGATTTGGCCAAACCGGAGAAGACCTCTGGAGGCAAAAAGGTTTGTGACTGTTCTGTTCCACCTATACAACTTACATCACTCATATCTGGGGTTAAGATGTCAAACAAACCCCTAAAAGTGTTCAACTCGACTCATCGTTCGTGATCCCATTGAGTGACTGACCAATGTCTAGAGAGCAGAATATCATAGTCTATATTAGAAATCTGATGGCAGTTAATCTCATTGTTGAGAATATGAGGCGGCATAAAATATACATGACTATAATTAAAAAGACAATGTAGAAAGATTAGATTAAAATCATAATGGTCAATTCAAATGTGTAAAGGCCTGTTCACACACACACAGCGATAACTAACTATAGCGATTACTGGAGCTGCATGATTCATCAAAATAAATCCAAATGATGATATGGCTTAGTGGTTACGATTTAAATATGCGCTGTGTGTTTCACAATGAAGTCGCAGCACTGTGTTCATTTACACGCGATCGGCCTGTGTTTGCTGCTCCACATGAGCTCAGTCTCTGCATCAGCTCTGAGTTTGGGAACACAATATGCACCAGCCATCTTCATAAACCTGTAGTATGAAGGGATTATGGACAAAAGTGCAGCTTTGAGAGTTCCCTGCAGTTTTCTGTCAAAAGGTTTAATGGTTAAATGTTTGAAAATAAGACAGCCACGAATATTAGTATTGTCATTTTTACAGTTGTAATGTAAAACAAAATGAGTGTTATTAATATTTGTATTTTTATTCATCTTTGTAATTTTACAGTGAAATATTACTCTTTTTTTTTTCTTTTCTTTTAATTCAGTATATATATATATATATATGTATCTCACAAAAGTGAGTACACCCCTCACTTTTCAGCAACCATTCTAGTATATCTTCTCAAGGGACAATATTATAGAAATTAAACTTGGATATATTTTAGAGTAGTCAGTGTGCTGCTTGTATAGCAGTACAGATTTACTGTCCTCTGAAAATAACTCCACATACAGCCATTATTGTCAAAATAGCTGGCAACAAAAGTGAGTACACCCTAAGTGATAACCGCTGTATGTCGTTTAACCATGCAAAGCCACATGTCCTATTCACCATGTTCATGTTTTTGTCTACTTGACAGGACCATACATATTTGTGTATCTTGTATTAGAGCAGTTAAAATTTGGTGCTTTGTGTACAATTCTCTCATACTGACTGCTGGATGTTCAACATGGCACCTCATGGCAAAGAACTCTCTGAGGATTTGAGAATTAGAATTGTTGCTCTCCACAAAGATGGCCTAGGCTATAAGAAGATCTGTAACACCCTTAAACTGAGTTACAGTACATTGGCCAGGGTCATACAGAGGTTTTCTAAGACAAGTTCCACTCGGAACAGGCCTTGCATTGCTTTAGAGTTTGCAGAAGCGGGAGATCAGCTTGTCAGTACTCAAACCATACGCCGCACACTGCAGCAAGTCGGTTTGCATGACCGTCGTCCCAGAAGGAAGCCCCTTCTAAAGCTGACTCACAAGAAAGCCCGCAAACAGTTTGCTGAGGACAACCTGTCCAAGAGCATGAATTACTGGAACCATGTCCTGTGGTCTGATGAGACTAAGATAAACTTGTTTGGCTCAGATGGTGTTCAGCATGTGTGGCGACGCCCTGGTGAGGAGTACCAAGGAACTTGTGTCTTGCCTACAATCAAGCATGGTGGTGGTAGCATCATGGCCTGGGGCTGCATGAGTGCTGCTGGTACTGGGGAGCTGCGGTTCATTGAGGGAAACATGGATTCCAGCATGTACTGTGACATACTGAAGCAGAACATGATGCAGATGTGCAGTTTTCCAACATGATAACGACCCCAAACGCACCGCCAAGATGAAAACTGCCTTGCTGAGAAAGCTGAAGGTGATGGAGTGGCCATGTCTCCAGACCTGAACCCTATTGAGCACCTGTGGGGCATCCTCAAGCAGAAGGTGGAGAAGCGCCATGCGTCTAACATCCAGCAGCTCCGTGATGTCATTATGGAGGAGTGGAAGATGAACTCCATGCCCAGTAGGATTAAGGCAGTGCTAGATGACAATGGTGCTCACACAAAATATTGACACTTTGGACACAGTTTTGACATTCACTTAGGGTGTACTCACTTTTGTTGCCAGTTATTTAGACAACAATGGCTGTTTGTTGAGTTATTTTTAGAGGACAGTAAATCTGTACTGCTATACAAGCAGCACATTGACTAGTCTAAAGTGTATCCAATTTTCATTTCTATAGTATTGTCCCTTGACAACATATAATAAAATGGTTGCTGAAATGTGAGGGGTGTACTCACTTTTGTGAGATACTGTGTGTATATATATATATATATATATATATATATGTATGTTTTTTTTAGCAATAACAATATTATATCTTTTTTTTTTCTCATTTTTTTATAGCTATATAATTACATACTCACAAATTTGGCCAAATTGTGTAGCCCTACAAAACAAAACAAAAAATCAAGCATTTTATGTAGGGATGCACCGATACTGGTATCGGTATCGGCCCCGATACTAAACGCTGATACCACACAGCATGTGATAAGTGCCATATTCAGACAATGAAACACAGACAAAAGAGCAACAGACAGCAGAATGGAGTTATTAGAGATTAAGGATGTCTATGGAGTATATGTATGCAATGAATATAATGTTGCTGAAATGTGTGGGGTGTACTCACTTTTGTGAGATACTGTGTGTATATATATATATATATATATATATATATATGTGTATGTTTTTTTTAGCAATAACAATATTATATCTTTTTTTTTTCTCTTTTTTTTATAGCTATATAATTACATACTCACAAATTTGGCCAAATTGTGTAGCCCTACAAAACAAAACAAAAAATCAAGCATTTTATGTAGGGATGCACCGATACTGGTATCGGTATCGGCCCCGATACTAAACGCTGATACCACACAGCATGTGATAAGTGCCATATTCAGACAATGAAACACAGACAAAAGAGCAACAGACAGCAGAATGGAGTTATTAGAGATTAAGGATGTCTATGGAGTATATGTATGCAATGAATATAATGTTAAACATTCAGTATTAACGCCTGTATAGCTGATGTGCGCGAGCTGATAAACAAAGCACACTGAGTGGATTGAGCGCACGGCGGCGCAGATGCACGAGCTTGTCGAGTGAATATACCTTTCTCACAGACATCATTGGAAAGTTTGTAGTTCGGTCGAATACGTCAAAAACAAGTAAAACAATGCACAAGTTACTTAACGGTAGCGAGGGAGAGAGAGAGAGAGCGCGCACGCAATTCTGTTGTGTGATCTTTGATGTTCACTCACTTAGCACACGCATCATTTGGATTAAAACAAAATCATAAAAAGACCATTTTATAGGGGCATTCACTATAAATGTCATTTATTTTTAACCTTAGACATACACGACTTTCTGGCGAAAGCGAATCTAGCAGCTTGTGTGAAATGCGCTAGGCTGTACTATTCTGCATCAGTACAAATATGTGCACGTGTCGCGCATGTTTTGCTTGCTGGAGCGTTTCTGCATTATATGAGTGGCTCTGGAATATAAATCGCAGCATGTTTCAGATGACAAAAAAAACGCGACTTCTATTTCTGAAAATATCACAGTTAGGAAATTTATGAGTGGTTCCCTGCATTATTACAGCAAAGCGCGTGATTACAGTACTGAGCCGCTGCAATGGAGCAGCTCTAATGCTATTAAATTAAAGATGATGTACCATAGAGCAAAAAATTAACAGTGAAAGTAACAAAAACTTGTAAAATACATTTTAATGGGCATAATTAAGTCTGAAAATAACAGAAGGATATACAGTGAAACCAAAAATGATTGAGACCAGATATAATTTGTGATATTTTTTTACCAGTGGGTGCAGGACACTATAGTTCATTTATGTAAGTGAGGATAGCAAAATAAAGTAAACTGACAAATTATACCCAAAATTTCTTCATACAGTGGACTACCAGTAAAAAAACATTGAAGTTGAGGTTTGCATGAAGCTGGGTGACAGCATGCCCAGGAGACTACAGGCTGTCAATTAAGGCTAAGGGTTGCCCGACTAAGTATTGATAGTTGTGTAAATACTGTCATACTAACAGCTGTCTAATTTTTGGTTGATTGTAATCTATTACATACCTTTCTATCAAAGAAATCTAACATTATCAAGCTGAATTTGCTCTGACACGGTTTAACTCGGAGTTCTTGTCATATTTTATTACCATTTTCTAAACTATAGCGAATAAACCGTGATAATGTGAGAAATGTTGAAGGTGTCTGAATAAATTTTGGTTTGACTATCTATTTCATAAATGAAGTTAACCAACTAACATTATACATACTCTTTTGGTTTCTGTACCCAATATTTAAAAAAATGTACAAATGCAATAAAAATATTGGTATCGGTACTCTGTATTGGCAAGTACCAAAAACAAAAGTATCGGTATCGTGCGAGTACTGAAAAAAGTGGTATCGGTGCATCCCTAAATTTATGCGTCTCAAATTTTATTTGAAAAATCAGTCGCCCAGCCCTAATTCTATTAGCATCCACAGGAACAGATAATGAGGTCTCGTTTGTTTGTAAGTGTGTGGTGCAGTTGTGGTCCGCTGCTTTGAATGCTAGCGCTGTTTAAAGCTGGTTGGATTATGATTGGCTGTCAGTGTTTTTATCGTTATATATAGCTTTGATCATTAGATTAGTTTTGATGTGGTCATTCTTATAGAATTAGAACGATTATCAAAACTTTGCAGTTGTTGTCTTTGGTGTGAACAGACCTAAACTTGCATTATGAATATGCTGTAACAAATCTAATATCCTACACATCCCCAAGAATTGACTTTAAAAACTAAAATGCAATAACATTGATTATCTCAGGTTTCACTTTATTTGAATCCTTTTTGTTTGAAACATTTAAAGTAAATTTATATTATATTTAAAAAAATATAGCAAGCTTTTACAGTTTGATGTATTTTCATGAGGAGACCAACCCTGTGCCTGAAACAAAGCTTTAGAAATGAACACTGCTCGATCATCCTTACATCTGCAGAGAAGCCCTTTTTAACTACATCGAAACTCAACCAAAACACCCAAATGCACCAATTAAACAGCAACTGTAGATCCAGTGTGAAATGAAACCATTTCCTGCACATGTTCACCGATGCTCTGGTGTTTCCTCTGCTGCAGGAGTCCAGGCACGACAAAGAGAAATCCGAAAAGAAGAGAGACAGCACTGGCGCTAAAGAAGAGAAGAAACAATATCCTTTGATGCCTTAAACACCAACGGCAGCGTGTAGAGATGGAAAGAAGTCATGCTCTCTGTATAGAAATCAGCTTTAAACTGCACTGGAGCAGATCAACAGTGTTTTTTTCCTTAACATTCCTCACTCATAAATCATCAGAAAAGCACAGATAATCCATGCTGACTCTCGAGGTGAGCGTTTGAGGACACTTTCCTTTTTATTACTCGTTTCTTAAGAGTGGAGAAATGGGTCGGTGAATGTGAAAAAGAGCGGTAATTGATTTGCAATGTGCTTTTGGATAATGCAGAAGTTTTCCTGAGTGGCACTGGCTGCAGTAGTTCCTGCAGGATTCATCAGCCCAGCTTTCTCATCCATGTCAGCATCTTAATTCACCGTCTGGAAAGAGGACTCCCTCGCACACTTAGGAATCTTGCCTGCATCCAAACTCCTGTTGTTTTGCCTAGAAAAGTTGTCGCTTGTATTTTAATCTGCCATTTTTATTGTGATATTTTCAGTGCTTCACTGAAAGTTTGTTTCCTTTAATATTTAGCACAATGTGCTGCTTGCATCACAAACAGATTCAGGTTGAATTGGTGTCGCTCTCAAATGCTTGCGTTTTTATGACCTCGCGTATTACTTTCTTTTCTGTTTTTTCTTTTTTTTTTTTTTTTTTATTAAAAATTAAATTCTTTTTTTCCTTTATTTCTACAGTAGTTCCTGCAGGATTCATCAGCCCAGCTTTCTCATCCATGTCAGCATCTTAATTCACCGTCTGGAAAGAGGACTCCCTCGCACACTTAGGAATCTTGCCTGCATCCAAACTCCTGTTGTTTTGCCTAGAAAAGTTGTCGCTTGTATTTTAATCTGCCATTTTTATTGTGATATTTTCAGTGCTTCACTGAAAGTTTGTTTCCTTTAATATTTAGCACAATGTGCTGCTTGCATCACAAACAGATTCAGGTTGAATTGGTGTCGCTCTCAAATGCTTGCGTTTTTATGACCTCGCGTATTCTTTTTTTTTTTTTTTTTTTTTTTTTTTTTTTTTTTTTTAAGTAAAAATGAAAGCTCTGTTTTCCTGAATACTACCTTTTTTCCTTTTTTTAAATTCACATGTGACATTTAGACTAGGTGTTTGAAGCCGTACAAATGCTCTATTTGTATATTATGTACACAGAAATAAAATGGTTCCATGTAATAAGACATTTCCTGTTACTTTCATTTCAAATGTACGCCTCCTTTGTGTGTTCAATCACGTTTTTAAAAGATTTGTATCAAGAATGGCAAGCTGGATTTCTCCGTAAATAAGTGGACTGAAAAGGAAGCAATTCATGACTTTCCAAATTACTTCATGGAGTTTTTATCTGGCAGAATCTACAAAGTGTATGCTTTTTCTAAATAAAATAGTTTTATTAGTGTATGGCATGTCTCTTGTTGTTTTTTATTGGACGCTTGGGGATTTAGCTAAACCAAATAACTGCATTTATTGCGCCAATTTGCTCCCGAACGCCTGACAAGGTAGCATTGGTGAAGAGAATGCGTGTTTGATATCTTTTTGAGCTCTTTGTGATGACCATGAAATTCTTCAAATGCACAAGATGAATTGATCATTTCCACACACACAGCAAACATGAAATATTTGGACACGAGTCACACTTCAAAAACTCTGAATGCCGTTGCATTAGTTAAAAAATATAAAGCTGGTTGCATCTGCCACAAATGATGCTAAAGCATTTAAAACTAAACATTTTATTACATTTGTTCAGTAAGCATCTCGGCAAAGAGTAGTGCAGTTTTTCACTTTGAGAAATGTACATTTAATGATATTGAACTTTATGTAGAGCAGTTCTACGTAATCTGTGTTAATGTTACTATTAGGCTTATTTCAGTACTTCTAAATGACGAGTAGAGTCGTACTAATACCTATTAATATAAGTATGTAAGTATAGCAATGTAATGTAAACAATCTACTGGTGATTTATTGGAGGTATGACAGTACTCACTAGCATTTCACAAACAATATACATATATAGTGTATACATAGGCTTCTGCAAACGAGTAGAGTCGTACTAATACCTATTAATATAAGTATGTAAGTATAGCAATGTAATGTAAACAATCTACTGGTGATTTGGTGATTTATTGGAGGTATGACAGTACTCACTAGCATTTCACAAACAATATACATATATAGTGTATACATAGGCTTCTGCAATTGTTGTTTAAAGTAAATGACAATTTATATTATATATTATACTCAGTGATATTGAATGGCATGCTGAAATTTTAAGTGTGGTGTCTAAATAAATCTGAGAATATTTTAAAGAGATCTGGGCCCGTATTCATAAAACCTTTTATCTTACCACTAAGAGTTCTCCTAAATAGCAGTTTTCTCTTAAAACCTGTTCACAAAGCTGCTGAGACTAACTTTTCCTAAGGAATAGAGAGAAGTCTTAAGCTAAGAGTAAGGGGGCGGGATTGACCTCGTTGCTATGGATGATGACCGCATACTTACAAAGTGTGCAAACAGTGATTGGCTGATAGTCTCTGTCAGAGATTTATTCATGGAATATTGTAGAGTACAATATTATGTTGCCATATTCAAATAAAGGTTTAAAAATGCAGGCAAAGTGTCACTAATTAAACAAGTATATGTTCAGCTAATTGTCAGCCTCTTGTGTGCTTCTGGTAAACAATTAGTGAATATGCATATGAAGCCTTTTAATTAACAGAGTAGAATAATAATGGCTGATAGTAAGACATGCGAATGTAAAATAGAATTAAACTGAATGCAAGAACAGCTGTTACTTCTTGCCCAACTTGTTAATGAAAACAAGGATATGATCAAAGGAAAATTTGGAGTTGGGATAACCTACAAAAAAAAAAAACATATGTGTGCCAATAAATGCAGCGTGATTCTAAAATGTTTGTGTTTCAAGGCAGATTGCTGGCAACCGCCATTTTAGCCCGGCTGAAAAAAGCAATAGAAACCATCACAGAATTTGAATGCTTTCACTGGTTATAATGGTAAATGTAATGTGCTTGTTGGTCTCTACTGGTAATTGGTCGCCGTCTATTGTTAGCTTGTTAAAACCACTAATGGAACATGTCCCAAAACACACTACAGGAAACATTTTTTTATTTTATTTTAATGGTTAAAAGTTGATGGTTTGTAATGGTATTTGTAGTGGAAACCTTTAGAATTTCTGTGATGGTTTCTTTTGTTTTCTTCAGAAGGGAGGATAGGCCTAGTTTGTGGTTTGGTCTTAGTGATTTAGGACTCTCTCTTCAATACTCCTAACGTTCCACAGATTTAGGAGCTAGTTTTAACGCTTTGTGAAATACTCTTAGAGCAAAAACTTAGGAGTCCTGAATTTAGGATTGACGCCCATTATTTTAAAGATTTTCTCCTAAATCGGCAAGTTATGAGCTACTTTTAGCCTTAAGATGTTTTGTGAATACGGGCCCAGGTCAATTCTGTTCAATTTCAATATCTATGTTATGTAATGCATTTTATGAATATACTCTCAATTAATTTTGAATAGCAAAAATGTTTCATTTAGGCAACAAATGTGCCTTCAACAAATGCGCCTTCACTGCTAAAGGCCTTTGGATTTAATAGTGTTCAAACTCTTTTCCAAAACTATTACAGAGATCGTCATTATTAAGCTCTGTTATTTAATCTATTCAAAAATTAACAGCACAAAATGTGGCTTGATTTAACACTATCTATCTATCTATCTATCTATCTATCTATCTATCTATCTATCTATCTATCTATCTACTTGTCTATTTATCTGTCATCTGTCTGTGTCTGTCTACATGTCTGTCTCTATCTATCTGTCTGTGTCTGTCTGTCTGTCTTATCTGTCTGTGTCTGTCTGTCTATCTATCTGTCTGTCTGTCTTATCTATCTGTCTGTGTCTGTCTGTCTATCTATCTGTCTTATCTATGTGTCTGTGTCTGTCTGTCTATCTATCTGTCTTATTTATCTGTCTATCTGTCTGTCTGTCTGTCTGTCTGTCTGTGTCTGTCTTATCTATCTGTCTGTGTCTGTCTATCTGTCTGTCTATCTATCTGTCTGTCTGTCTGTCTATCTGTCTGTATCTACATGTCTATCTGTCTGTCTCTGTCTATCTATCTGTCTGTCTGTCTGTCTGTCTCTGTCTGTCTGTCTATCTATCTATCTTCTTGTCTATCTGTCTGTCTGTCTTATCTATCTGTCTGTCTGTCTGTCTGTCTGTCTGTCTATCTGTCTGCGTCTGTGTCTATCTATCTATCTACATGTCTATCTGTCTGTCTCAGTTCTATCTATCTGTCTGTCTGTCTGTCTGTCTATCTATCTACATGTCTGTCTGTCTGTCTCTGTCTGTCTGTCTGTCTATCTACATGTCTCTATCTATCTGTCGGTCTGTCTGTCTGTCTATCTGTCTGTGTCTATCTATCTGTCTGTGTCTGTCTTATCTATCTGTCTGTGTCTGTCTATCTATCTGTCTGTCTGTCTGTCTATCTACATGTCTGTCTGTCTCTGTCTATCTATCTGTCTGTCTGTCTGTCTATCTATCTATCTACATGTCTATCTGTCTGTCTCAGTTCTATCTATCTGTCTGTCTGTCTATCTATCTACATGTCTGTCTGTCTGTCTCTGTCTATCTACATGTCTGTATCTATCTGTCTGTCTGTCTTATCTATCTGTCTGTCTATCTGTCTGTCTGTCTGTCTATGTCTGTCTGTCTGTCTGTCTTTCTGTCTGTCTGTCTATCTATCTGTCTGTGTCTGTCTATCTATCTATCTACATGTCTATCTGTCTGTCTCAGTTCTATCTATCTGTCTGTCTGTCTATCTATCTACATGTCTGTCTGTCTGTCTCTGTCTATCTACATGTCTGTATCTATCTGTCTGTCTGTCTATCTATCTATCTATCTACATGTCTGTCTGTCTGTCTCTGGCTGTCTGTCTATCTACATGTCTCTATCTATCTATCTGTCTGTCTGTCTATCTATCTACATGTCTGTCTCTCTCTGTCTGTCTATCTATCTGTCTGTTATCTATCTATCTTGTGTGCAACAAAACATTTCCTTTTTGGATGAGAAAGTCAATTCGTACATGTGTTGGTGACTCCATCTATTCATAAATTATAACAAATGTTATACCTTCTTTTGACTTTCAGAAGTAAAAGTTTTGTGCAGGTACAGCATGTCAGTCTTTATAAAGTGAATGGTTTCTTTGTATTCCACGTCGTTATCTCAGCACTAATAACCTGCATTCATGGTTTGAGGATCACAGATTCATTGTGTGCATAAAAAAGCCCCCACACACTTCCATTCATTTTTTTATTTTTTTTATTTACAAAATGTATTAAAATTCTTTGTACAAGGCCTCACTAACGGGGCTCGGGGAACGACAGCCAGGCATGCACGTCTTACATCAGCCTGCCGCCCGGTCACGTCCTCTGAAGTGCTGTTTTATAGGTCAGGAACAGGTCGAAATACGAAAGCTGAAACCCACTTTCTACCGACCATCTAGAATCTAATGGAAGTCGCAGGGCTTTACTTGACAATCACAAGTTTTCACATGCAGATAGAAAATTTGGGAATTCAGTCACTCGCTTGTGAATCCTTCACTAGAAATGTACAGATTTGTGTTCCACGTGTGAGGTCTTTTAAAAGCTTTTCGTTATAAAACTATCTGTCCATGGTCACGGGATGGGCCGTATTCTCAGTCCCGTGGGGTCACAGTTGGTTTTCCTTCCCTCCAACACAAAAATGTCACAGCAAATGTAAATGTGCTAGCTTCTCGTCAGCTCCTTTTATAAATCTATTGTAAATGTTATTAATCCTAGTCTCGTTTGCTAAATAATTCACCAAACACTAATAATGCTCATCAAATAAAACTAAATCTCAAAGCTTGATTTCATGTGCGAATTATATTCGGAAAACCGTGAGGTAATCAATTACTACATCGTAAAAGCCATGTCTTTTTGTGAATTGCGGTTTATCTACATTAATGTGATCCGATTTATAGCTTCAGTTTCTTGTACAGTATGCCGTGATAACTACAAAACCTTGAAAGTTCATCTCTGTCACGTATGTATGTATGTGTGTGTGTGTGTGAATGAAATCATGTGGCGATTTTTGGTTTTGTAAAACTTGCGTGTGAGAACACCATTATTGAAGGTCAAATGGGGTTTATAGCTTCTGAACTTCCAGCTGAATTTCTTAGAAATATAGATCAGACAAAAGAAAAGCACATGGTATACTGCAACATATCCAACCAACTCACAAAGATCCTGATCTGGAATTGAAACGATCCATGATCTGATAAATTAATACACCGATTGAACGAGTGTGAAAGCAAATTTACAGTATTACAAGCGTTTGCTCGACCACTGGGTTCCACACAGTCCAGAGAAGACGTCTCGAGTCAGATCGGCTCATTCGGTGTGCTAAGATCGCAAGTGATGGCTTTATTTCTCGCTGTCCATGGAGTTTTTATTTCACAGGGATGATGATGATGGCATTCCGTGGGTTTGTGTGATTGGAGCAATGCAATGCATTTGCATCAGTGATACTCTGAATATTCCATAAGGCACTGAAGAAATCTATTCCAATCATTGCGCCAGGCCGTGGTCTTTTGTGAGCGTGCTGTGTCGGCTGGAGCTGATGTGTATGAAGACAGGGGGAGACCCCTGCTGAAGATCCAGCCGTCTCTGTGAGGTGTCACACCACGCTGCCAGACTGCCGCTCTGCAAAAACACACACATCAGAGAGTATGCACAAGAGAGAGTATCACGCAGTGGGAAAATAAAGTTTGTTTTTTAGCTGATTCTACAGTGCATTATCATCTATCCTCTGATCTCTTCAGCTGCTGTGAAATGTCACGTTAAATCTTAAAACATTTTTAATGCAACATGATCAGAACATTCAGGAACAATGTACGTGAAAAATCTATAATGTATTTATTTGATACATTACAACATGGACTGGTATGAGAATAACTCCTGCCAAGAACACGTCTCATATTTCACACCAAAATCTAAAGAAAGACGTTGTGCATAGAAGAAAATGAAGGTTTATGTATGCATGTATACATTTATTTTTCTCCAATTAGCAACTCACCAAATTCTCTTTACTATGAGGTGAAAATATTATTTAAATTGTAAACTAGAGACTGTTATCGGAAATAACTGTTGAAGAACTGAACATCGCAACTACGAGGCTGAAAGTAAATAAATCTCCAGGCCCTGATGGTTTCATCTCAGAGTAGTATAAATCTCTTAGAGAATCATTGTTACTTGCCACCTTCAATTGGATATTAAAAGGTGGATTGGTCCCTCCCTCTTGGAGGGAAGCAATTATTTTGGTTATACCGAAGGAAGCTAAAGATATGAGTGTGGAAATTTCAGACCTATCAGTATCTTAAATGTTGATTCCTAACTAATTACATCCATTCTGGCCAGAAAGCTAAATCAAATTATCCCAGAACTTATTCATCTTGATCAGATTGGGTTTCTTAGGCAAAGAGAAACTCAAGATAATATTAGGCGGTCTTTACATATTAAGAGTCGGATAACTAAACATAATGTTGAAGCTTTATTTGTAGGATTGGATGCTTAAAAGTCATCCGATTCTGTTAAGTGGAAGTATCTTTTTATGGTTATGAATCGATTTGGGTTTCACAAGTCCATCATTAAAGTTATTCAAGCATTATATGATAAACCACTGGCGAGGATTAAAGTGAATGGTGATCTTTCCAACCAGTTTACTCTAGAGCGAGGAACACGTCAAGGCTGCTCAATTAGCCCTATTTTATTTGCCCTATTTATAGTGCCCCTTAAACAGTGGATTAGGCAAAAGGACAAAATCATATGTATAGAAATAGGGACAGTTGAGCACAAGGTAGCTGCCTTTGCAGATGACATTTTAGTGTACATAAAGCAGCCAACCCAGTCATTTCCAGAATTGATGTCACTTCTTGAGTCATATGGATCTTTTTCAGGTTATAAGGTCAATATACAGAAAACCCAAGTTCTCACTTTTAATAAAAAATTCCTGATAATAAATCCAGGTGGCTTATGTCTCAACTGGGAATCAGTGGCAATGAAATATCTGGGAGTAATCTTATCAAAAGATATATAAGAATTATTTCAAGTTAATTTTGCTCCTCTAATTAAACAAAAAAGGAGAGATATCAAGATGGAATCTTATCCCCTTTCTAAGCATGAGCTCAAGGACTGAATCTGTCAAGATGAACATTTAACCGAGACTGCTATATTTATTTCAGTCTCTGCCAGTGAATATACCAATGCAGTAATTCTTAGAATGGGATAAACTATTTTCAAGATTTATCTGGAATGGAAATGTTAGGTTACTTGCGTAACCCCTGTTCTCTGAGAACCGAGCGAGGTATCTCACTATGGGAACGTAGTGACCCAGGCATGATAGACTATGGAAGCACCAATTACACCACGTCTGTCCGAAAGATGGACCAATCACAGCTCATGACAAGGAGCCCACCCCCTCCCTAGATATATGGCTGTGATCCCCGAAGACAGCATTCTATGCACGCACTTCCCCAGTGTTATGCGAGTAGGGAAGCTTGGTGAGATATCTCGCTCTGTTCTCAGAGAACTGGGGTTACGCAAGTAACCTAAAGTTCTCTTTCAAACAATCGCTCGGTATCTCACTATGGGAATAATATGCCAACTCCCGAAACGCATGCTTTCCGAAGCCGCCGAACAGACCCGGCAAGAACAAAAGATAACCTTTCAATTCTCCATAGAGCCAACATTGAGAATTGCATGAGCCATAGAAGGTGCAGTGACATCCAGACGGTAAAATCTGATAAATATATGAGGGGAAGCCCAGCTTGCCGCTGCACAAATATTTCCTACCGAAATCCCCTTGAACAATGCCCACGAGGTAGCCATACCCCTTGTTGAATGAGCCCTTAAGCCCACTGGGGAATGAAGACCCATAGATGTATAGGCCAATTCAATCGCCTCCACCATCCAATGGGAAAGGTGCTGTGAGGAGATCGGCTTACCCTTACATTGAGTGGCCCATGAAACTAATAACTGATCATTCTTCCTGAACGATCGTGTCCCGTTTACATAATAGTGTAACGCTCGTACCGGACATAAAGTGTGCAATTTCCGCTCCTCCATGTAACTCACACACTCGTTTAGCTGAGACTAAAGCAAGTAGTAAGACCATTTTCAGATATAGGAGCTTAATATCAACACTCTCCAGAGGTTCAAATGGGGCCCTAGTTAAAGCATTCAGAACAATGGACAAGTCCCATGACGGGACCAGATGCTTAGATACTGGTCTCAAACACTTCACCCCCTTCATAAAACAGCATATAAGAGGGTGCCGTCCAACTGAGACTCCCTCGAAGCCTACATGACACTCCGAAATAGCAGCCAGGTAAACTTTAATAGTAGAAAACGCTCTCCCCCATTGTTCATTAAGCTTTGTAAAAAGCAAAGTACATCGCTCACCGCGCACTGAAAAGGAATAACTCCTTTACGAGTACACCAGTCCTCAAACACACGCCATTTAAGGCCATACAGACCCAAAGATCGACTCGTTCCGGGTGTGGGTGAAATATCTTGTGCCCCCCGCTTGCGACAACAGGTCCCGGTGCAACGGGAGCAGCCAGGGCTCTCCCTGAAGGAGCTGGACAATCTCTGCCAACCACAGCCTCCCCGGCCAACGAGGGGCTATCAGAAGGAGATCTGTTTTCTCTTACTCTTTCCAGGGTGGGAGAAATTAGACAGAGGGAATGCGTAAAGCAACATGTTCGGCCACGGGTGCGCCAGCGCATCCATACCCAAAGGCGCATTTTCGTCCCTAAGAGAGAAATACAGCAGACACTGTTTTTTAGGCACCCACTGTATAATGAGTTTGAGCTCTTGCCTTCGGGTAGAAGATTCAGGATACCGGTGTTTATTAAAAATAGAGGGAAAAAATCTTTTATAACACAGGCAGTGAAGTGCTTAAATGAAAGATAGGAAAAAAATTATTTATTTATTTATTTATTTATTTGTAATGAGCAGGTCTCATTCAGTAATTAGCACTTCTTGATTAATTGATGTTAAATTGCATTGTTTTTATTGTGAAATTTATGTTGTATTGTCGTTTGTGAGAACCGCATATTGAAACAAGACACTGAAACAAAATTTCCCCAAGGGGATAAATAAAGTTACTACTACCCTTTGTGTTTGCCTGCGAGGCGAAGAGATCTATGGCAGCCTTGCTGTACATCCCCCAAATCTGATCCACCACCTGCAGGTGGAGCACCCAGTATAACGGGTTGCCCCTTGACAGGAGATCCGCCCCTACATTCAGAACTCCTGGTTTGTGTTCCGCCCCCCAGATAATCAGTTTGCCCGAGTTGTAACGAACTAATGTGTTCCCCCTTGGCGATTGATATATGCCACCACCGTCGTGTTGTCTGTCCTGACCAGAACATGAAACCCTTCCAAGAATGGGAGAAAATGTTTCAGGGCCAGAAAGACTGCGATCAACTCCAACATATTTATGTGAAGTTTGCAAAGCTGGGGCGTCCAGCGACCGTTTACCGATCTGCCCTGAAAAACAGCCCCCCAGCCCGACAGAGATGCATCTATTGCCACTATTTTTCTCAGAGACACGCCCCCCATGGGAACCCCTGTCTGGAATAAACAGGGATCTCTCCACTGATGAAGAGCCATCACGCACTCCGCGTGTATTCTCACTCTGCACGCGAGGTGCCGACAAGGACACAGACGTCTCGCTGCTACCCATCGCTGGAAGTCTCTCATTTTCAGCAAACCTAGCGGGACCACGGACAGCGACGCCCAAAAGGCGGAGACAGGTCCTGAACGATACCAAATTTCCTTTGCGAAACTGGACCACGCACTGACAAAACGCCATTATCCTCCTTTCCGAGAGCATAGCCGCGGTATGCCACAGAGTATATTCGTAAGCCTGAGCCTAAGCTCCTGAGATGGAATCAGCTGGCTTTTGGCATAGTTCATTCTGAACCCCAGACTCGTTAGATGTGACGTGAGCATCTCTGTGTCCCGCTCCCGCGAGGGAGTGCAAATCAAATAATCGTCCAGATAAGAAGATATTCTGAGCCCCTTGTGTCTCAATGGTGACAACGCTGTCTCTATGCACCTGCTGAACACGTGAGGAGCGAGGCTGAGCCCAAATGGAAGAGTAACAAATTTCTACACTTTGCTCTGAAAGGAAAACCTGAGATATTTCTTGTGCGCAGGATAGATGCTTATATGAAAGTAAGCATCCTTGAGATCGACCGCGGTGAACCAATCGTTCCGACGGATTGTGCGCGTGAGAGCTGCAACTGTGAGCATCTTGAATTTGTACTTTCTCAAGTGCTTGTTTAGAGCACGCAGGTCCATTATTGGGCGCAAACCCCCATCTTTCTTTGGAATTAGAAAATAATGGGAGTAATAGCCTTTCTGAGTTTCCCCCACTGGAACTCGTCTTATAGCTCTTTTCTCTAAGAGGGAGGATATTTCTGCTTCTAACACCCGAGCTAAATCCCCATTTGCTACAGATGCTATGACGCCGTTGAAAGGAGGGGGTTTTACAGCAAACTGAAGCCTGTAACCCTTGGTTACAGTCGCGAGGACCCACGGATGAGCAGAACACTATCTCCAAGCCTCCTGATAAAGAGCCAGAGGGTTCATCTGAACAGATTCCATAGATGGGAGTGCTGGCGCCATCTGGTGGA